AAAAAAAAAAAAAAAAACATAAAAATTGACACAGAGATAAATATATCTCACACTTCACCCTTGCAGTCACATTCGTACGCAACTTTGTATGATTGTAGAAAGACCAGCAACTCAATTTCTTAATACATCTTTTTTACAGGAACATCTCAGCCACAGCAATGTGGCAGTGTGCGTGTCATGTGCCTGTGTTTGCTTGTTAAAAGACTCCCTGAGCTGGGGAGTGTGGCTTAGCACTGCAGCGGATGTTTAGCACGCACAAGGACAGCAGCTCAAAAGAAAAAAAATTGTGATTAATAATTTTCAATTTTGCGCTCTTTCTTTAGGTTTTATATTAGTTTTTGCAGTTTATGAAACAGATTTTAATCTATATATTTATATATGACATTCATTTTTAGGATTTTGCTTTTTTTTTTTGGTTTTTTTTTCGGTACCGGGAATCAAACTCATGACCTTTCGCTTGCAAGGCAGGCGCTGTGCCACTGAGCTAAATCCCTAGCCCAATTTTTAGGGTTTTGAAGAACACATGCTAAGGTGCCTATATATTTCACATCCCCTATCACTCTCATCTCTTTTGCTGGAATTCAGTTAAGTGATGTATAATGAGAGATCCCATACCCTTACTTCAAAAACTTCTCTCAGAAATGGTGCTTTTACACAGTTAAGGGTTTAGTCTCTCTTCCAATCTAAAGCAATGCTGAGGACCTAAATGGTTTAAATGTTTTCAAATAACTTAAGTCCAAAGACATCAAGTTGTCCTGAACATCCCAAAGGAGCTCTTCCTTGTGTCACAGATTCACCTAGAGAGTATAAATTATCTGCCTTCATTGGGATTATTTTCAAATTGGATGAGGAGTTCCAGTGCATCTATATTACCTCTCACAGAACTTCTCTAGATTTTAAAAATGTGATAACAGGAGCAAATTGGCCTCTAAAATCAAATAAAAGCTTTTCATTGTTAATTTATAATAATAAAAGCCAGTACAATTCATGGTTGGCTGGAGTCGACGAGCTTGCACGGAATTATGTTTCACCTTCTCCTTGCAGCTTCGTGTCTCTTCAGAACAGTTAATTTTCAGGACACCCTTAAAACTGTATTTACACTAAGTAGATTCCAGTAATGCATTTTGGCAGAAACCCCACACTCCGGCTGGTACCCATCAGAGAATCACTCAGGAGCACCTGATGTTGTCCCTCCCAGGACTGGAGATGTTAATTTTCATCATTTAGTTGAAATGATGTCTGCTGTGCAGTTATTATTTATTCATGGTAAAATTACTCTGTTTCCCCACAGTCCATTAACCTGCGGTGACTAGGCTTTATTTCAGTACCTTTTGGCTTCATTGATTATATTTATATCTCTGACCTATTTTTAGTTATTCTTGTGTATGACGGGAGATATGGATTTAACTAGCTTTCTTTCACTAAGCTGTCCATTCTCATAGGACCATTTATTTAAAAGTTCATCCTTGTCCCCAGCAATTTGGGATGTCACTTTTGTCATCTACTCTCTTTTCATGTGTACTTGAGCCTTCTTCTGGACTTTCTATTCGTCTCACTGATCTAGGCCCACATGCCAGCACCATGCTATTTTAACACAAGAGTTTGATATGTCTGAAAACATTTGTCCTCATAGCTTTTTTTTTCCTGTATTCTTGTACCTTTTCCAACATGAATTTCGGTATAAACTTGTACAC